AATGCCTTGAGAAAATTTTAAAGCCTTCGCTGAGCCACATAGTATATCCAAATCAAGTAAATTGTACAACATATCAACCGGTTACGACTACGAACATCAAAAACGCAAATATTTAAAAGTATGTACTGTCCCTGCTGTTCTGTCCCTGCTGTTTAGTAAATCTCGAAGTATTGAAGCGAGCGACAGAATGAAAACTGCAATATTACCTGTACGCGGAATGACTTGTCATTCATGCGTCAACTCCATTACGAACGCTTTAAAATTTTCTCAAGGCATTAATAGTGTGGTGGTGAGCCTTGAAAATGAGAATGCGACAGTGGAATACGATGAGGAGTTGATTAAAGAACAAGACATTATACAAGTGATTGAAAATTGTGGGTTTGAAGTTCCCATTTTATCAAATGTTAATTTAATATCACCATTAGCCTCAGAATTTGCGCCATTTACCAACGTTACCTTAAAGGATTCTCCATATCAGGAATCTTTTCCACTCAAAACAATAAAAAATCACACTTTCGATCTAGATAAAATACGAGTTTGTCAGATCCATGTACGTGGAATGACTTGCGCATCCTGTGTCAATAGTATCGAAAAACATCTTCGTGGAGTTTCTGGAATCGAATCAATTAAAGTTTCCTTGCTTGCAGAGCGAGCTGTAGTAGAATATAATGCAGATATTATAAATGATCACAAGATATCCGAAATGATTAATAGTATTGGATTTGAGGCTTCTCCCATTCAACCAAAACGTGAAGACAAAATTGAGGTTCAAATTTTCGGAATGAAAAATTCTTTACACGTTGAAGAAATTAAACAAGAATTGTTCAAGGTTCCCGGAATACTTAGTGTATCTATAGACTTTAATACTACAATTGGTGTAATTCAATTTGATAAGGAACAATTAGGTGTTCGAGATATTGTGGATAAAATCGAAAATATTGGTGATTCTGGCTTTAGTGTCTTGATCTATGACAATAGTCAAAAGACGCAATTAGAATCATTGGCTCGTACAAGAGAAATCACTGAATGGCGAAGAGCATTTTACCAATCTCTTGCCTTTGCTATTCCAGTATTTCTTGTTTCCATGGTTCTTCCAGGTTTTGCTTGGGGTTCAGCCTTAGTTGACGTAATGTTACTTCCCGGAATTTACAGTGGTGACCTTATCAGTCTCATATTGACCATACCAGTACAATTTGGTATCGGTAAACGATTTTATATTACGTCCTATAAGGCTCTTAAACATAAGTCTGCAACCATGGATGTCTTGATAGTTTTAGGGACGACTTCAGCCTTTACTTTTTCATGTTTCGCAATGTTTTATGCGCTAATTGTTTATCCACATGATCGACCATCATCTGTGTTTTTCGATACATCAACTATGTTAATCACATTTGTAACTTTTGGTAGATATTTGGAAAATATGGCCAAAGGGAAAACTTCTGTTGCTTTATCAAAACTTATGTCACTTACACCTGCTGTGACAACCATCTTTATTAAAGATCCTAAAACTGGTGATATTATAGAGGAAAAAAAGATTCCTACAGAATTAGTGCAAGTGGGAGATATGGTTAAAATCGTGCCAGGTGACATAAATAATATTCTGATTGTTTATTATATCTCTACATTGATAATTAATTGGAAATATAATATTTTTAGGTGATAAAATTCCCGCAGATGGCATTGTTATTTCCGGTCAGTCAACAGTAGATGAATCAATGGTCACTGGTGAAGCTGATCCGGTAACTAAACGACCAGGAGATTTGGTTATTGGTGGAACTGTTAATTAGGTACTTTTGACATGGAGGTTACACGTGCAGGAAGTGACACCGCGTTATCTCAAATAGTGAAATTGGTAGAAGAGGCGCAAACTTCGAAAGCACCAATTCAAGAATTTGCCGACACAGTCGCCGGATATTTTGTACCAATTGTCATCTGTTTAGGAGGATTAACATTTATCGGATGGATGATTCTAGCTAGAATAATACATCCTCTTCCCGATATTTTTTCGCAGGATGAAAGTTATTTTATGGTTTGTTTAAAACTATGTATTTCTGTTATAGTGGTAGCGTGTCCTTGTGCACTAGGTCTTAGTACACCTACGGCCGTAATGGTTGGTACAGGAGTAGGTGCACAGAATGGAATATTAATTAAAAGTGGTATTGCACTTGAAACAGGTCATAAAGTTACAAAAGTTGTATTTGATAAAACGGGAACTTTGACAAAAGGTCAATTGGATGTTGTTCATTATGAATTAATGACCGAAAATCCGGATTTAACCAAGGAAAGATTTTTTGAAATTGTTGGGGCAGCTGAATCTTCAAGCGAGCATCCTCTTGGTCGTTCTATCACTAATTACGGAAAAAAAATTTTATATATTGAAACATATAATGCAGATGTTTCAGATTTTGAAAGTTTTTCAGGGCTTGGTATAAAATGTACTGTCAATCTCAAAACAGACCGTACTAATACGAACCAAAAGACTGATTTCACAACTCCAGACATAAAAACTTATGATGTATTGATAGGAAATGAACGATTATTGGCACAACATAATGGAATTATACTCCCGGAATCAGTAGTCACACTCAAAGAAACACAAGAACGACTTGGACATACGACAGTTCTAGTAAGCATAGATTTAGAATTAGTAGGGTTAATATTTCTTTCGGATATAATTAAACCAGAATCTAAAATTGCAGTTGGTGCATTAAGACGAATGGGTATAGACGTTGTAATGGTGACCGGTGACCAATTGTTAACAGCTCAAACCATAGCTTCACAATGTGGAATAACTGAAATTCACGCAGGAGTTTCACCAAAAGGGAAAACTCAAATAATACAATCAATACAACGTGAAGGCCGAGGAAATATTGTGGCAATGGTTGGTGATGGAATAAATGATTCGCCAGCTTTAGCGGCAGCAAATTTAGGAATTGCATTATGTTCTGGAACCGATATAGCAATTGAAGCAGCAGATATAGTGCTTATGCGGCCAGACATGACAGATGTAGTTGCATCTATAGATTTATCACGAACTATATTTAAAAGGATATTGTTAAATTTTCTATGGGCATGTTTATATAATTTATTAGGAATTCCGTTTGCCATGGGATTATTTCTACCATGGGGATATCATTTACACCCTATGATGGCAGGTTTCGCCATGGCTTGTTCAAGTGTTAGTGTAGTATGTTCTAGTTTACTACTCAGATGGTGGACTAAACCAATTTGGGTTGATGATGGAAAGGGAGGAGTAAGAAGGGTGAAAGATGATAGTGGATTAATTAACACGATTATTTCAACATTGAAAACTGGGCCTACTATGCCCCGTGGATACAGACGCTTGGCAGTGGAAGACGAAGTGTAAAATATTTAAAAAAAATTTACATTTTTTTCTAACACTAGACTTCAATGTTCTTAATGTTTTTAATATGTATTAATGTTTTAAATTCCTTGAACTACTTCATGGATTGTGTCAGGTTATTAGAAATATAAATTGTAAAAAAAAATACTAGTTTTTTAGTCAATTTCTACTTATACACTGTGTGTATATACACGAATATGTTGATATCTCAAAATCCTGATTATAAACCAACTTTTGGAGTTCTAACAAAAAATATTTGCGACATTTTAGTATAAGCCCTAGCCGTTTCTAACACTAAAGCTTAATCTTAAACGAGGTTAATTTTGCCTTATAATTTATATATTACAAGAATTTGTAAATCAAAAATTAGTATCCGTGTATAAACACGGTGAACCAATAATTTTTTTTTATTTATTGAAGAATTTTATAAAATGTCAAAAGAAGTTCAAAAATATTAATAAATAAAATACATTCAATAAAAATTTTTTAATTAAATAAGGAGATTTACTTAATTATCTATTAATAAAATCAACAAAATAATCATATACTCGCTTCTAAGAAAAAAGATCTCGCAAATAATACAAATTATGTATCATAATTAAAAAATATATATTGTTATTATTAGATAATAACTTTTTTTCTTTCCAAAAAAGAAAAATAAATACAAAATATATATAATCCCACGAATCTATATAGTAAAGATTACTTCTTTGTAATCTAATTTCAGAAAAAAAGAACCATTTTGATATGATTGTTGTTGAAATTTAATGTCTTTAAAGTTAGGGTGGTAAAGTTCTTAGATTCAGAATCGTAGAACCTGTGCGCCACCCCTCCTTTAAGCACGGGTACGGCGACGGAAAGTTGAATATCGATAAACCATTTTTGTAACAAAATATTTGGATTTTTATATTCTGTTTTTTAATTCGAAAATTAAGGAATTCTTGGTTGTTACGGTCCTTTCGAGGTAAAACTTTGTATTTATTGTCTAAGGATTATCAAACAATACGATTTTTTATTATGAGTGGATAACATTGAGTATTCGTCCAGGTGGTTGGAATCGTCGTGGAATATCCTTTTTTCTTTACATGTTATTTTGTCGGTCGTTATAATCTCGTCTTCTCTTTTTTTTTTTTTTAATTCAGGCTTGATTTCATTGTTGTCATGATTCTGGGAAACTTAAAGACCTTTATTACCAGGTTTAGCTTGAATCGTAATTATTAGAAGGTAAAGATCGTAAACGTTATTATTTAGAAATAAGGTGGGTAAGGCGATTTAAATATGTAGGAAATAGATAACGATCGTTATGCAGATAACCTTATTTATTACTAGAGAATGCAAGTTAATAATGGTAAGAGTTATGCAGTGAAAAATAATAAGGTACAGGGTGTACGTTAACATGTTTCTTAAAGGTATCTTATTCTTGATAAGTTTTATATTATTATTATCAACAAGCAATCTTTTATATATTATAACATATTACGCACATATTAAGCAATAATTTTTTTAGAAAAATATTACGAAATAAAAATGTAGTAATAAATGTTATACGAAAAATTTCGTAATTTACTCGCACTGTGTGAGTAAAAGGTAACCTAGTGATTAGAAACCAATGTTTTTATCCTTCGATTCATCTTGGTGAGACAATTTGAGTAGTTTAAGAATCATTAGACTCATCTAGTAGAACTTCGATATTATGTGATTTGCCACTTTACCCACCCGTCATATCACTCCCTTTACTTTATACTGTAAAACTTATAAAAGTTACAAAATCAATATCGATATTCTTTTACCTTATAAAAGCTAAATCAATATTAGCATATACAGTCAAACCTCTCTATAATCACACCCTTGGTCTGGTGCTTATAGAGAGCTTGTGCGGTTAAACTTTATATGTTATATATATAAGTTGGTTTTAAAAATAAGCAAATGTGACTATCGAGGGGGTGACTATAGAGAAATCTAATTGTAGATCAAAAAATACGTATGGGTATCTAAAAGTTTGATACGTATGAATTAAGTAACTTAACTTAGGTTTGGAACCTATTATATAATCCGGTTCTTAGATTTTACGTAATTTGGAACCTAAAGGTTTTAGAACCTAAACCAAACCTAAACTAACTCTACCATCATATAAATCAGCGACCAATAAACAACTAATAAATACCAATAAACATTTGACGTTCAACCATGCTTTTTTCGTCAATTATGAAGACATTTTTCACTTTCTTGCGAACTTATTGCCGTTTTCACATGTGTTAGATTTTTATTGAACGCCTTCACCCTTATTAGCAATTTCCTTTTTAATTTGTCATCATATTTGTTTTTGAAGCTTTCTGTTGAGTGTAAAAAAAAAAACTATTTATCATCGTGAGAATTTCATGTGTGATATCACGTGTTAAAACAGGATCTAATAAACAGACATTTATGGTTTGTCAAACCATTAGCAGCATAAAATGTCTTCCTATTTAAAATGCAGATTTCACTTAATTTCTGCAACTTGTAATTCCGCGTTTTTCTACACAACTCTAGCACTTTAATATTTATTTATTAAACATGACGAATCTATTAAATATACAGTTAGCACCATTAAACGTGCCTTTAAAAAGACGACGTCAGACAACTGCTGTTCTTTTGTGGCTTATCTCTCTACCAGTAACTTTGTGTGTTTTTTTTATATTGTGTACTACAATTTTCTTTTGGCCTTGGATCATTGCATATTTGTTATTTGCATTATTCGACATTGCTCCGGAGAATGGAGGTCGAAGATTTTCATTTGCTAGAAAGGCATATTTTTGGAAGTGGTACGCTGAATATTTCCCAATAACACTCATTAAGGTAATGATTTTATCTATCCTCAAATTTGTACGTCAAAAAGTTTTTGTTCCTGACAATCATTGATTTTCTTTATCAAAATTATAGGAAGCCGATCTAGATCCATCAAAAAATTATATATTTGGTGAGTGAATTACAATAATTTTAAATGTAAAATATACATTTTTATTTTAACATTTTTTTTCATCATCAGGGTATCATCCTCATGGTGTCATATCTGTTGGTGCTTGGACAAATTTTGGCACTGAAGCCAATGATTTTTCAAAAAAATTTCCCGGTATTACATGCCGGGTATTGACACTTGCTTCAAATTTTAACCTCCCACTTTATCGAGAATATCTAATGGCCCAAGGCTTGGCATCTGTATCCCGTCAGTCCTGTGAAAATATTTTACAAAAAGGACCGGGACATTCTGTTCTAATCGTAGTTGGTGGTGCGGGAGAAAGTTTAAACGCGCGTCCTGGAGTTTACGATTTAGTTTTGAAGAAGAGATTAGGATTTATCAAATTGGCTGTTCGTAATGGGTAAGGAATATGAAAATTTTGATTAATTAATTTTTATTTTATTAACCAATTTGTTGTCAAAATAGTGCATGTTTATGCCCAGTATTTTCATTTGGTGAAAATGATATATGGGAGCAAGCTGATAATCCTAAAGGTAGTAATGTTTGGAAATTTCAAAAGACATTACAAAAATTGTCAGGTTGGACAATGCCTCTCTTCCACGGGCGTGGTATATTTAATTGTATGTGATTATATTTTTACTGTTAATCATATTATTTATTATTATTGAGTGGATTCATTTTAGACTAAAATCAACTCACCTTTACTTTCCATAGATGATTTTGGAGTTCTTCCCCATAGAAGGCCTATTAC